GGGTGTTGGGGCCTCAACATGCCCTGAGGGACACAGGACAACAGCCACAAAGGAGCTGTTCCTGCAGCCATGTTCCTCCAAGACTCATGACCAGGCTTGTCAGAAGGTTGAGACAACATCACTGAGTGTCCTGGATCGGGGTCTAAGGGCTCTGTCGCAAAGAAAAGCAGAGAAGCCCACCCAAAACCAGCACAGGAGTGCAGAGCACCACTTCGTTGCATTGGCAGCACCAGTGCAGGGGCTGTTTCACTCGTACTTCACCCTACAGAGCATCACCCGGGCCACGCAGCGCCACGACAGCGGCAGCGCTGCTGCGGTCGGAGCGGGGTTACTCCACACAGGAGGGTCGGGGCAGTTCTGCACAGGGGGAAGGTGCCCAAGGCAGAACCTTCAGCTCGGGGCACTCTGGTGCCCAACGCTGCGGCCTTCCCCATCCCGCCCTGGGCACCAGCTCCTGAGGGCAACGGGAGGCAGCACGGCCCCGGCAGCACAGCCCAAAGGCAAACACGCTTCTTGGCTCCAAACAGCCCCCTCCAGGAGAAGACAACGGGGCTTTCTAGCAACTTCTGCTGCCTTCCTGTTGCCAGGAGGTGGGCACCGCACATGGAGCCATCATGGGACACTGGTGTTGTGGAGAACTGGGGGGCTGCTGGTGCCACGGCCCTTCCTGCTGCTGAGCGGCAGGACCCAGCCCGGCTGCTCGGGGGCCACAGCTCGGCCCCGGAGCCAAACACAAAACCCAAGTGACAATGGAGATGCCATCAGCAGAGACGTCCTCAGCTTCGGCCAAGCATCGAGATGGTGACACGGGAGCACCTCGGGGTGCTGCGACTGCACCTCCAGCAAAGGAAAACACCCTTCGAGGTTTGCCTGACACATCCTGGGCCCTGAGCATGCAATTCTGTGTTTCGGAGACCTCTGCCAAACCCAGCCCGTCTGCACCCTGCTCCTTCCTGATGGCGATGTGGAAGAACATCACCTGCCACCTCTTCCAGTCCATCTGGTGGGGCGACAATGGGAACTGCGTTGTCATTGCAGAGAAACTCTTCCAAAAGGAAGCGCTTGGCAGGAGGCGAGCACGTAAGGTCTTTGAGGCCAAGAACATGACAAGATTCCTTCTCCAACTCCATCTCCGTTGCTTCTGCCGCACGGAAGAGGATACACAGACACCCCCATCACGGAGCTGCAGGCGGTGGCAGCAGCAGGACCTGCTCTGGGGCAGGTACGTTGGTTCCTCCGCACACAAAAGAACCCCCAGGACAGTCAGGGAGAGAAGTTCACGTCCCGATAAAGTAAGTTTTGCCAAGGGAGGAGATGGGATGGGAGCAAATGGCCTGATTTTGCCTTAGGGCTCCCGTTCAGGAATTCTGGATGCGGGAATGAGGCGGAGCAGAAACGCCGACAAAAGGGTTATTTCTGCCGACTTCGAGCCCGTGAAGCACAAGGATTGTGCCATCATCTGGTGCTTTTCTTCTGCTTGCTCCGTATCTGGCTGCACCAAACACTTCAGTCATCTCGTGGCAGCTGCTGAAGGTTGACAAGATACACGTCAGCAGCAGCGTTGCTCCCAGCCGGCCCCTTCCACACTCAGGTGCTCTGAAACGAGACGTATTTGGGTTTCTCCATTGGATTTTAGGCTTCTGAAGGCCCTGCACTTCTCTGCTCCCAGCTGCTGAAAACACAAGGGTGGTTATGGCTGACCCAAACTCTACCCTGATGTTTTATTCATCCAAAACCTGAGGTTTAAAATGCCCCAGAAAGTCCTTTTTAATACCCGTGTTTGTTTTTTCCGATGCCGATGCCGAGTTACCGGATCTCTGTCTCTCTCCTCCTTACACCGATGTCAACTCACTCCTCTCCTTTGCATTTTGTAGCTGCTCTTCTACCCGCACCCCTATTTTCAGAGGGATCACCCCAACCTGCTCAAGATGGAGATGGTGGCAGAAAGCGCTGGGGAGCGGTTGGGAGCGGTTGCTGCAGCCCCCATGGCCCCAACGTGGAGGACACCCCCATGAGAAGACACCAGCCTGGTGCTGAGCCAGCGGCAGAGGAGCAGAACAACACCCAGCCCTCTGCAGCCACCCGCTCCACACGCACCAGGCAGGGGGCTGCTGCAGCCACCCCGATGTCCCCCCCGTGCCACAGCTCCTGCCCCTTCCCACCAGCCATGGGGCTCCCCACACTCTGTGCAGCCAAATCAGGTCCACGGGGCTGGCGATGCCCAGGCTGGCGGCAGCTTCTGCCCTTTCGATGCCAGGGCCGAGCTCCAACCACCCCCACTGCCCAGCCTGGACCTGTGGGACAAACACCACAGCTGATGGCAGCGGGCTCGGTGGGGATGGACCAGAAATGGTAGAGCTTAGGGAGCAGTAAGAGCCCTAGAGCAGAAACAGGTTAGTGCAGGAGTGAGCGACTGTGTTGTCTGTTGTTCACAAGAAGAAACCTTTCCCAGCTGCTTTGTGCTGTCTCTGCAGTCTCACACTGTCCCCACACCTGGGGCAGGGGTTGATTCAGGAACATGAAGGGTTTGGCTAAAGCCAAAGGCTCCTGGCACCAGCGCTGCACTTGGCCAAACCCAGCGAAAGGCTTTGAAATGACTTCTGAAAGGACTCATGGCTCTTGTCCCTCCGCCCTGGTGCTCTTCGGATAAGCCTCATCATTCCCATTGCAGTAACTATGGGGGAAAATGGGTCTTGGACTCAGGGCACAGATTTGAGGTAAGCAATGCTGGTTTTGGTGCCTGGTAGATGCTAACGGGAGAGAGACAGCCCTGTCTGCCCAAAACCACAACCATTCCACAGCTGCTTTTAGCAGGACGCTGCTTATCTGCAGCTGTAATTAAAGCTTTATAGGATAGAAAATCCCTGGAATTTGTGTCCCTGCCTGCAGTCCTTAAAGTCCTTTCCAACCCAAACCATTCCACGCTTCAGGACAAGGAAAGGGCCAGGCAGCGAGCACCACTGGCGTGCCACCCTCACGCTGCATATCCCCTGCCTGCCCTCATGTGCCAACTGAGCAGAGACATTTATTGTGAGCATCTTAAAAAAATAAGACTTGTATTAGACAGTGATTTCCAAGAGGTTCTCGTCACAATCAGTAGAGGAACAGCAGCAAAACTCAAGTCAAGCCCAGGCATTGCAGAAAGCCCCCCTTCCCCTGCCTGTGTCCAGCCATAAGCTGAATGCCACCACCCCAGCATCAATGCTTGTTGTTCTCAAGGCAGCAGCATGGGCTGGTCCTCGGTAACTTGATCTTTCTCCTCCCTTTTCTTTGCTGTTTGAGCTCAGTTTTGAGATTAAGTGTTGCCAAAGGCTGGAAAACCCCTTTCTGCCCTTGTCCTCAGCCTGCACAGGCCTCCCCTGCCCCAGTCCTGCAGCACAGCAGGAGCCAGGCAGGGAAAAACCATGTTAACATGTACAAATAAGTGGGTTTTCCCCTGCATTCAGCGTAGGGTGCCCCAAAGCACGGGCACTTGGCTGCTGCTCTTGGAGGGGGTACATGGAGGTGGCTCCGCGGCTGCAGTAGTGAATGGGGGACTGTGCTGGCTGGGAGAAAGGCAGTGACCAGCCCTGCGGTACCCTGCAAAGTCACCCAAAAGCAGCCAAAAATCACCTGGAGGGACAGTGCAAGCAGCAGAACGACAGTGGCACCACTAGTGCAGGCAGGAGGCAGTGGGGCAGTCCCCAAAGCCCCAAAACACACATGCGAGGGGGAACCTCTGCTCTTGTGACACCCTGAGCTGAGCCAGCGCTGGTCCTGGGCTCCCTGAGCCTCCTCTTGCAGCCAAGCTCCACCAGCTAAAGCGAGAGGCAGGCTCCCTGCACACCAGCGACACGCTGCCAGCCACGCGAAGCTGCAGAGGCTTTTAAACCTGCAAACGGGCACCTCGAAGCGTATAAAAGACAAAACCCATCAGTGGATCTGGAGGATTCCCCCCTCGGAGCACCTCCTGCCCGCGGACAAGGCAGCAAGGGGAAGCCTGGCCGTGGTGGAGCAGCACCGAGCTGCAGGTCAGAGAAGGAGGATCTGCTTTGAGGACGTGAAGGGCTTCATGGCAGCTTCCAGCGCTTCCCGGTAGTCCTGGAGCGGGACCTCGGTACAGGCTGGCGCCGTGAGGTGGCCCCTGCGGATGAGCTGGCACAGGGCGTCCATCATGCTGGCCACGCTCTCCTGGTCTGCAAGGGAAGGAGAGAGCTCCACCGTTGTGCATCCTGTGCCAGAGCCCCGTGCCTGATGGCATCCAGGGTGCTGGGGTGTGATGTGCTCCCAGCTTGGACGTGTGGGATGAGGGAAGAACCCCATGGGGGAACACCAGCTCCATGTCCCACCACAACACCCAGTGCCTGTGCTCCAGCTGCCCCAAGGACCGCACAGCACCAGCACGGAATGGTTTGGGTTGGAAAGGACCCCACCATCATCCCGCTCCACAGGCAGGGACGCCTCACACCACGTCGCCCAAGGCTCTGTCCAGCCTGGCCTTGAGCACTGCCAGGGATGGAGCACGGTGGCTCAGCCCCCATTCCCGTGCTGACCCGCAGCACCAGTGCCACCCCTCAGCACCCCCGGCTCACCCTGCTCATGCTCCTTCCTCCACTGGGTCATCCAGAAGCCGCGGAGCCGCACGTCCCGGAAGATGAAGGCGCTCTATGGAGAGAGGGACGCGCGTGAGGCCGGTGTCTTCCCTCCCGGGGTGGCACTGAGGCTCCGGGTCCTCGGCAGCACCCTCCCTTGGGAGGCAGGGAACAGCGGGAGCGCGGATGTGGCTCCGAGGTGTGGAGTCAGGGTGGGTTTGATGCTCTGCATCCACGGGGCC